GTTTTTGCGCTAGGATGAGGTGGTTTTTCAGCCGTATTGAAATTGTTGTACAAACACACAAACTCCAGACCAAGCTCATGGACATGCACTGCAAAAAGTGTCCATCTAACCAAGTGTCACACTTTGATATTCAGTCAGAAAGTATTTTTCATCTTGTTTTGAGTCTGACACACTATGCAAGAGCAAAATATGTCAGGTTATTAATCTTGTTATTATGCGGGTTTTTTTTTCTTGTTTTAAGAAGTTTTATTAAATACAATTGTCTTGATTAATGATAATTTCATTAATTTGAGAAGATTCAGACTATAATATATTGTTTTTAAACTTATTTCTGCAGTGTGTAACTGATGAGACTAGATAACCTCTGCAGAATATGGCTCTAACCATGTGACTACATACATGTGCATGAAACATTTCTCCATTTTAAATATTTTTAGGATCATTTAAAACAAGTCATCCCTTTCAACTTTGTTATTTCTGAAGTATTTTACGGATTACGTTATGTAAAACCAGACAGCAAAATATAAAAAATATAAATGTAAGAATATGTTTGCTCCTGTTTGTATACGGCAAAATATTTAGGAATCAAATGCTGAAATTTTATTTTAGCTCTTCTTGTTTAGTTTTTTATTTTTTCTGAAAGAGTATTTTGTTGTTTCTTTTGTTGTGACACTTGTTTTCTGCAGGTCAGCAAGCAGAGCTGCAGTGTTTGGCTTACACAGGCTTCAGTGAGGATGAAGAGATTATCATGTTCTGGACCATTAATGAGTCGCTGATCTACAACTACGAGGAGCTGACTGAGTCTTGGAAATTGTGAGTTTCTTCACCCTGTGAGGTGTTGGGCTTCACCTGCTGAAGTAGACTGGCATGTAAACAAAACAGAATAAACGGATGCAGGATAGAAACTGAAAGTTTCTTAATGTGAACCCCAAAGAATCAGAATCTGAATCATTTATTGTCATTCACACACAACATCAAAGATGCAATGCAGAACGAAATTGCAGTTTAGAACNATAGATAGATAGATAGATAGATAGATAGATAGATAGATAGATAGATAGATAGATAGATAGATAGACTGTATGAAGTCTGTGTTTGTGAATTAGAGAATGCTGTCAGCGTTCTCTATTCTGAAATGTCTTTTTTTTGTAAAAGAACAACTCAGTCAGAGTTTTACTTCATACAGAAAAGTACATTTTAATTAGTCAAGAATAGATTCAGAACAGCTGATATACTTTGCACAAAACATGAGGACATGTGTGTTTGGTAGGTCATTTCTTTGTTGTAACAATGCTTCTTCATAATAAGTCTTTTGCTCAAAGGCGGAGCCAGGGGGTGGCCAGGGGTGGTCACCACAGACCAATCTTTGGCCACCCCATTGGCCACCCTGCTGCACACACCCCTTCCACAGTGAAACAACCTTTAGGGTGTAATAATCCTCCTGAACAGTTGGTGGCAGTGTTTAACAATTTGAAACATCACCAAGCTCTATGACTGAAGAAGAGTAATGACAACGAAGTGATGTTTTCTTTATATACAGAACATATGTTAGTGATGGCAAATGAAGCTTTTCTGAAGCTTGCTTTGGAAAGGGTTCATTACTCGCAGCTTTTCATCACAGTTGTCTTTGGCTCCACCCTGTGGCCAAATGTATGAAAAGCTGCTTCAAACAACACAAAGTGAAGCGCTTCATCATGATTGAGTCGACAGCTGTTTAATAAGAGATATTTCTGTTAGATATTCAACCCATTCTCACTCCTGAGTCGTCACATATTAACGCTTTTCCAAAGTTCCCTCTGCGTTCGATTTTGACACATCAGGTATTCCCCTTGTGTCAGTTTTTGACRAGATGGGGCGGAATCTGTTCTTACAATTTCAAAAAGTGTAGAAAATGCACAAAAACTACCGTCCCAAAGCCTAAAAGTACCTTTATTCACTTTAGACATCCTGTCCCTGACCCTAGTACCTAAAATTAACCATTTTTACAAAATGTAGGAAATTCACATGAACTACGTGTTCCAAACCCTAAAATTACCTAATATTCACCGTAGACATCCTGTCCCTGACCCCAGTCCCTAAACGTAACTACTGTATTTATCCTGATCCCTCATGTTAACCTCAGACCCCCGACCCAAAGACCCCTGGTGGCGCAACCTGGAGAAGCCGCGGGCGGCAAGGACTGACGTGAGGGGGTCACCTGACGCGTCAAAATAAGACAGAGGGAACTTTGGAAAAGCATCAATAGGTTGACGAGTCGGGAGTGAGAATGTGTTACAATATCAGGTTGTCATTGTGCTGCTTTGAACAGTTGTTTTTTTGTGTGTGGGTGAGGGAACAAAGTTACTGTTTATGGTTCATTTATATGTATATAGAGATAGAGAGAGACAGAGAGAGAGAGATGCACACAAGAAAAACCCAGGGCGCAGGCAAAAATCCAAAGTCTAATGAAAAGATTTATTAATAAAACAAAAAGGCTGGCAGGGCAGCTCAAAACCTCTCTCAGGACCAGGGACACAGAGACCACCACACTGGTAGTCTGTCACCACACTGGCTGGTAAAACTGCATAATGAACATGAGGACAAGACACCAAATATAAAGGCAAACAAATTAAGAGACAATCAGAAACACCTGGAGAGACACAAGAGGGATCAGGTGTGTGTGGGCGGGGCTGCAGGGCAGAGCAACACTGGGAACATTGAAAACACAAGAAAGTTAAAGAAAATAAACACAGAGCATGACATACCGTACATACATACATACATACATAC